GATATGGGGAAAGGGTTCCGAGTTACGTTGTGACATCTCCAGACAGTCAAGGACTTAACGTTCGAGAAGCTCCGTCATGTTTTCTCTTTCTCTACTCAGCCTTCCACCTACACGAACCGATAATGGAAGCGTGAGGGAAAAAGCGATTTCACCTGATTGGCATCATTGACTGTATGGCGGTTTGACCAAACCCAGCCAGAGGGAGAGTGAGTGTTCTGCAAACATTTTCCAGAGAGCGAGAGGTTGTCACTAAATGTAAATGTGAGGCTCTACGCGTGTAGCAGCCTCTAATGAAAGAGAATGCCTTCTGCTTCCTGGGTGGTTGCATTCATCATGAGCAAAGAAAATGAAAACCATTGTCCTCTCTGTTACACGGCCTCCCTATATGTCGGGCATCATCAAAAGCCTTTTGTTGCATCATCCCTCCCGCTTACATCCATCTCTTCTTTGACCCAATTAAGGCACCACTTCTTGAGCGATTGAATTTTCATGCTGAACGAGATGTCCCATAATGTCCCAGCGTTTTCTTTTCCTACATTCGGCTCATTTTTACCTTCGTCTGCTGCCCGCAAGACCGAAAAATACGCCTCTGCAGCTATTGGCGACAGTCCATCCCGCCAGATTGTGGGGGGGGGGGGGGGGGGGACAAAGGTCTTAGCCTTGCCTATATTTCTGTCTGTGGTTTTCTTCGACTCTATTAAGAGACAAGCGCTGGTTTTTTGGCATGAAAATTAATCTTCACAGAAGGACCTGAACCTTTTAACCCTTTAGCAACCCTCTCGATTTCCTGGTCGAGCTACTTTAAGTACTTTACAACCTCTTCCTTATATACCTTGTTAATGTCGATATACCTAAAGCTCTATGTATGTGGAGATGAGTATTGGTGATTTTGATTCCCGCTAATTTTAAAATGGGATTCTGTGATTTTGAGTAGCTCGACTTGGAATTCAAGAGGTCATGTTAAGTGTTAAGCCAGATCTAACATCATCTTTGCCACTATGGGGTCATACCAGATCAATCTAGAAGCTCTATGGGCTAATGGACTTATGGCACAACGGAATATGCCTTGTTAAATCGGCTGAAAATCTCAGATAGAAACTCTTACTGATATCTTAATTTCTCCCGACGTTGGCTACGCGAGGCATCAAGTTCAAGACTTTTGGCACACGGATCAACGCAAATCCGAGACGAAGAGCCATAAACTCGGCAGCATCAATTTGTGTGCCTTGTCCATTGACACATTCCTCTTCTACTCTCATTCATGTTTGGTCAGAGTGAGAAACCAGGTGGAAAGATCCTTATTCTGATACTGTTCTCATTGGTCGGTCTGATACACGTGGAATAATATCACATGTGGCGCGTGGGCGCAACAACCAGTGCGAGGTGGCATCCGGCTGGCATTGATGGAGAGGCAGACGGGAGCCGGGAGATCATTTCCTCGTTCCTCAATTCCTGTCTGGAATGCTTGTGGGAGGTTGGATCCAGGAAAAACAATCGCAGAGACTTACTGTTTCTTTGAAACAACTCGTAGCACTCATAATCTGAATTCTAAGCATACACAAGACTGTGGAAGCGCTACGAAAGGTCCAGGCATGAACATGGGTACGCACCTGGCCTTTTCATCCCGTTTTTCTGATGTCTATTCAACCCCACCAGTTCCAATTAATTATTTACGAAAATGCAATGGAAACCCCCCCCCTCCCCCCCCCAGCTATATCTTAGTTGTACTGTCACTGAAGTCACTGCCAAAATGAGTTCAATAGGGGAGTAGACGAGGGAGAAAATTTGTGACGAATCAGATCCGACAATGAACTGGAATAAGGAAATAATGCCTCGTTCGACATAGAAGTGCGATGGGTCAGAGGCGCCTCGTTCCTCATGATCATGATCCCTGAAGACTTATTTAAAAAATGCGATAAGAGATTAACTACGAGCAATTGCTAAGAATCTAGATGTGAATCGATATAACTGACGCCTTTTAGCTGCATTTTTCATGTCCTATGGACAGAATTTCATCGTCTGGATTATTTCGGCGTGGGCTCTTTTTCTTTCTGAATGAAACGTCCTCGGATTTTTTTTCGCGGGCGATTTTTCTGGGGCAGCACTTTGTCTACAGATGACACATTAATAGGAAATTCAATTGGGTTATTGATTCGGTTTTATTTCATCCTGGGATATTCTATCGGCGACCATAACGTGTGGTGGTGACATGGTTGTGCAGCCATGTCGCAATGTGGAACGATGAGCATGACCTGCCTAGGATCATTGGTATCACAATTCTCAGCATTTTGATTGTCAGTGATCGCTTCCTATCCCTTAGAATAGGCTGAACAGATGATCTCTAAAGAATAGCAGTATTATCTGGCAGGCCGTGCTTGAAAGAAGTCTCACCGTTCTTCGCGTCTCAGGGGGAATATCTCTTTTCAATGTGTCAACGAAGGAGTATCCAGCATCCAAAATGAACTCCTACGATTATTCGATGCATGTAATACATTGATATCCAATATCCTTAGACGGCTGGTTTCGCAGTCTTCTTCATCTTACGATACTAGAATAGTGTACAATCGACAGGCCTAGGTTGTGGTTTTGGACACAACAGCATATATCTACTAGTATATCTTCCCATGGAGGAGAATGGGACATACTCGATCAAATGGTTGCGAAGTTCCTTTTTTTCGTTTGATTTCGGCGAATCGATTATTGGCTTGATTAGTCAGAGAGTTCGATCATAACTATCACTGTTTTTCATCGCGATGTGATGACACATTCAATATTTCAATGACTCTGCCATCCATAAGTGGAACCCAAAATCACGTGGAGGACATTTTCGTGTTCTAATCATGGCCACGCCAATGATTGTAAAGAGCGTAGGAGGAGAATGGCCGTGAAAGAAAGAAAGGAAACTGATTCATCGACTTGGAAATTCCTCCAATCTAAACGATTGCTTTCAACATGGAAGTCTTCCTTGGGGCATGGAGGCAAAATGTTCCTCCCTAGGGGTCATGAGCATCGCACGAAAGAGGAGGCAGAAGATACGTTCTGCCAACGCGAGATCGCAGAAGACACCGCCCTCTCTCTGTCTCATGTTGAGGGGGTGGGGGCTCTTCTGCCCCCCCGGTGAAATATGTTGCCCTCCCTTGAAGGAAATTCTGGTTGATGGAAGGCTTCACGTGTTGCCACTCCCGTAATTCGATGTTTTGATACTCAAGATCTTCTCTGGGACTGCACAGTATACACAAGTTAGCTTTTACAAATATACCACTCGGTGGCACAAAGAAGCCCTTCTTTCGTGAAAGAAGGCTGACTGGGCAAAAGATCGAGCATGCCGGTTTGTTTTTTTATATTTTTTATTCCTTAAGTTTCTCTGCGATAGGAAGCTGATGGTACTACCATATGATCCGAAGTTTTTTTTTAATGCTGTTTCTGAATACATCCAGCGCCTTCAATTCCATTCCGGAATCATTCTCTTTCAATCGAATTCCTTTCGACTCCGAAATCACAAATGCGAGGAAATGCCGGGGGAAACTTCCGTCTCGTCACGTTCTTCTTCATCACGATCAGAATCGTAGAATTCAGGATTCTGTCCCTCTACCTTCGCAAGTGTTTTGATCCGAAATTTACCCAAGGAAAGACCCCATTCAACTTGAAGGAAGAAAGAACTTAATTAGAGGCTATTTTCATACATTCCTTAGCATCTTATTGTCCCTTTCGAGTGTCTCCTTCCTTTCATTCAACTTCATCTCTCTTCGCAACGAGTTTAAATGGCAGGTAGTTTCACTTTGTCAGTGGATGACGTTCTTAAATCCTGGCTTGGGTTATCTAATTTTACCAAATACGATGATTTTATTTTCGTTTTATGGATCGTTATATTTCATGATCATAAATCTTGTGACGCATCAGAAACGAGTTTCAGAATTTTCGAAAACTCTCGTTGCGGGCAGCGGACTTGTTCTGTTGTTTTTTTTTTATTGGTCTGAGGAAATTCTCTTTCAATTTCCTTTTGAGGTGGTGCAAGTTTTTTTTTTCTCCTAGTTTATACATACCTGGTTATTTTTTACAGGTACGTAAACACACCTGTGGTCGACCTTTTGTCTCTACCACCATGTGGTATGTCTTTTCAAGAATACGCGTGAGAGCACGTGCCCTGCATTTCGAAAAGGCCATGAGATGAGAAAATTCCATTCAGATTGAAGTTGCTGAGTTGCATTAACAACAAAAGTCCTCATGTGGATTCAACCCATCCTGTCAGTGAGTCATCCATCCAGCTTGTTCTCCGGGCTTTCAATTTGTCTTCTACGGAGCCTAAGAGTGCGGTGTCGGGCTGAATCGAATGCAGGAATCCAGCCGCGAATAGGAATACATAACTGTATTTGCAGAGGATATAGTATGCTAATGCGAGGAAGGCCCCTAATGAAGGTGAGTGGACGCGTCAGAGATCAATCACTGATCGGGGTCAACGCCTGAACTCCGAAGTCCCTCTTCGAACTCGGTCTCCATCCGGTGTCAGAGAAGTGACTCCGAACCGGTTTAATGACTTCGGCAATATCAGGGGGCGATGTCCTTCCCTTCCCTTTTCTTCAGTAAAGGTCTTTCACATAATGGGGTGCATAAACAACGCCTCGACGTAACGACCGTGAAGATACTCATCTCGGGAATCCCACGCCCCGCGTCGAGTGTGAGAAGAAACTGCTCGACTTCTCGCATTCCTTCCCTTTTTCTTTCCCAAAGGGTTGCCTCGTTTCGGTTCTACATAGCATTGCCAGACAGACGCCTCTTTCGCATGAACTCCCCCCGACATCCGAATCAATTTGCGCGACGTGATGAGAATTCCGTCCCGCATGAAAATCATGAACCTTCGCTTCCACGTGGGTGGATCTCGTTAGACCCCCCCTCTTATTAAATGTTAGCATCAACGTCCTTCCTATATCATCCCGGAGCATTACACTCTGGGAGATTTCATTTCTCAGCCGTCTCATTCAAATGAAACGGCTAATAAGGGGTTGCTGTGGCAAGTTTTTTTTTATTTCCACGGCAATAAATAAAAAAAAATCACGTTCACATGCATGACTGGAACACATCGACGTAAAAAATGCGTATTAATAGAGGGGAGGAAGCGACGTCGAATGGCCTTATTTGGGTATCATCGGTGGATCGACGTAAAAAAAAATTCCACAGTGCACACGATGACATGGTTCATTCAGTTCACATCTATGGCAGTTCATCACAGTTGGGATGCATCTAGTCCGGATGCACGAGGGGAAACACGAAGGAAGTATACGCATGATAACTTCACAAGCAGGGCTTCCAGAAAATGCAATCGGTGAGGAAACAAAGGGTGGCATGATTGCACCGGGCCAGGAACAAAGGGGGAAATTTTTCCCTTACATTCCCGTTCTATAGGCTGTATCCCTTCGTTTCCCGCGATCGTCTTCGAACTACACAGATGTCTCGGAGTTGAGCCTGATTACAAAGCGATTGCTCTTGGGATCGATGATTTCCTCGGTCACATTGAAGTGGGGGAGCTTGGTCACAGTGCAGATGAGGGAGAGGTCGTTTTGACGAAGCTGAAACATCGTCCCGTCCTTAATTTGGCGTGAGAGCAGAACGTCACACACGAGCGCCCACGTCTGCACTTCCTTCTTTTCTCGATCGTACTGCATGAGAGAGAAACAAGCCGTTATGTCGTGGCCCTGGGATTTCTCGCCGTGCCAAGTCATCCAATTTACCATTGTTAACTCAATAGGTCGATAGGAATGGGAGCAACGGAATCATTGTTCGGAAAAAGAATTTGACAAAGGTCCTGATGATCCCTTCATGCTAAATGCTTCATGAGCAAAAAAGGCAAGCACGCACAGTGCAGGTAAATCGAGGCAAGCAAACCTCCTCCATTCATCAAGAAAGATGTACACAGCGAAGTAGGGGGGGAGGGGAGAATGAGGCAGACTGAACAAACAAGAACCACCTGTCGACCGAAATGCCTGTTTTATGTCGCAACTCGTAATTGTTGCCAGGAGCTGCACCTGGGCATTTGGGCAACTCAAACACAGAAATCCAAAACACCGGCAAGATCTTATCGCATACATAATTTTCACGGAGCCCTACTCCGACTTTCGCTCTTGCTTAAGCCGTCGTAAATTCAGGGTTATCTCATCGCATGCAGGAGACGATTCTAGTAGGCCTGTACCCCGGGAATCTAGATGCTGATAGGGAATTGAACTAGGAATATATGAGGCCGAGATGCAGCAGGTAATTCCCCCACGAGGAGGGATGCAAGGATATACGAGGCTGGGATGCTTCGTAACTCTTGCTGCTCATTACATCTTGGCGTTTCTCAGGGTGAAAAGCCATACGTCAAATCCGGCAACTACTGTTCGTCTACAGACGATTTGCAGCTGATCTCAAGTAGCGCGGAATACCTAAATTTCTTGGTTTATACCTCCATATTTAATCGAGTACGACGCTTTGAATTCCTTTCTTCGAGCAGGCATACTTACCAGCGTTTTCACCGCGCAAGATATTTCCTGATTATGTCATTGAAAGCCCTGGATATAGTAGTTGGGCTCACCTGCATGATGGGCGCAGTGGTGAGATACTTCTCGAGGAAGGCTTTAGGGCTGAGGTCATGGGAAAGGGAAGTGGAAAGATGTGAAAGAATCCCGTCCATCGTGTGCCAGGGCTGCTGACGGGTGATACGAAGATATTTCTGCAGCGGCCTCGCAAGCGTGGGGAAAACCGCTTGAGCCGCCTCACCAGGATCCATTGGATTCCCTGTCCCACCGCTGCTGCCTCCCCCCATGCCTTTAGGGAAGAGAAATAAGATGGAAAAAAAGATGATTAATTGATCGAGTTCCATTGATCACGTCTTTCTCACATCTGCAGCGTCTTTTTTTTTTTGTTCCATGCCTGGTTGTGCCGCCTCGGAGGTTGAAGAAATTACTCACGTACCATCCGAAGAAAAATCGCCCCTGCCTGCCCTCTCTGTTGACCCTCTGATTCATTCATAATGCACCCGGCACTTCGTTTTTCCGTTTTGTTCTGATGCTATTGACTAGCAGTTTTCTTAGTGGGCGGAATGTCTGAGTCGCTTGAAAAGCGGGGAGTTGCTGTTAGACATCCTTATGGCTCAATGTACAACCGAAAAGACAGTGACCTCTTAGATTAAGTTGTGTGACGAGTCCATGTTCCACCTCTAAAGATCCCAGATCCATTACATGGACATCAAATAGCCTCCAGGGTATTCCAGACATGTGTTCATCCTCGTCCTAACGGACTTCGTCCCAATCTGTGTCAGACTACCATATCAGATCGAGTAGCATATGGACGATAAAGCAGCTAAACCCATCAGTTTCGGCCTCGCCATGGGCGTAATACGAGAACAATGGTTGGATTAAGAATATCGATGGACAAGAAAAGCGTGAAAAAGTTAATTCGCAAGTTCATAGGAACAATGGATGACGTAGCCTTTTTATTTTTTTTCCTCACTCTCCTCCACATACCTTGGTCTTGATGGACTCTCTTGATATGCATGAAGGCTTCTTCAGTGGCCGTAAGAAGACGTGCACGACGCTTCTTCACGCGTCGTTCGTACTCATGCTCCTCGTAGAACCTTTCATTGTGGCTCGAATCTCTTCGCCTCCCAGATCCCGTCACATTTCCAGGACCCTGCTACAAGAGGAAAATAAGTCAGAGTGAAATGAGATCTCGCGACCAGTTTTCAGGGAAGATGTGATCGACAGCCGAGCACCTAATCCAGCCACTCCTGCCACTTGAGCTTTGTCTGCGCGCAGCGTTTCAGTCTTACTTAAACGTTTGTCTTTTTACCCTTAAAGGGTTTCAAACGAAACTCACAGTTTCCCATATCTGACGTTTGAGCTACGTCTATGGCAAATGTAATAGCGTACTTCCCATAGTTTCAGATATTCTGTGAAACAAACTATCGCGAATACGACTTAACCAGTGATTCACCTTTTTAAAAAAATTGAAATGAATTTTTTAATCTCCTGGTCACAGTCTTGCACCTACCATCATGCTAAACGTCAGCACCCAACTTCTCATAGTTTTATATATTTTTGGACATACTTTACATCCGTGCATCTACCAGTCCATAAGAGTAGAACCAATCTTCCTGGTTTCACTTAGACGCATGGGGGGAAAAAAGCGTGATTATGAGTTTTGAGATCCCGTTGACACGACGTGGGAAGTAGGGATGCATGGGGGCGAGGGATTTTGTGTACCCTGAACACCCACTCAAGTACTTCCATCTCATATTCAAGGAAGGCGTCATACGTCAAGAGTGATGGAAGACCCATAGGTCTACGCAAACTTCCGCGCTCTAAAAAAAAAAGCTTCTATTATCCTCGCCTTGACAGGAGATAATTTTACGTTCATCTGAGGCAATCGTGCATGAAGACCAGACCCAAAGAGATGAGTGAGAAAAGCAGGGCGCGAAGGTCTGGCCAGAAGAAAGAAGATGGAGGTGGGAATTGGCAATGCCTGCAGATTGCAGGTCAATATTTGCTGGGGACTGAGAGACGAAGCAGAAGAGGAGGGAAAGGAAAAGAGTGGAAAGGACACGAAGGGAATGGGGCATAGGTTGTTCACCTCCCATTACGCAGACGGACATTACGGCAGGGAAACCAAAGCCCGATGCCTCTTCTAAATCGCAACCTCCCAAAAGCTTTTTGACGAATGAGACTCCATTTAGCAGGGAGGTTCATCTGAATGCTAATCATCGGGCGTACATTGAAATCTGATGGGTTCTTCCTCCTTCCAATGAGGATAAATGGCGCTACTGCCATGGACATTTTTCATCGAGCTCCCTTTGCCATTTGCCCCTTCCAGGGTCAGCTCGGCCCTCGCATGTTGTCACCCTACCACCCCCGCATAATTCAAGCAATTGATCGATGTCCTCCGATCCGCCTCACAAATCAGTCTCGCGCGGAATCGATTAATAGCTCGGCCAAAATGAGGTGCCAAGGGGTATGCATTCCTTTGAGTAATGTGACTGAAAAGCTATTGCCATATATCACGAGATGGAGCTCAAATAAATATAAAAGGGCCTCGCTAGAAAATATGCTTCGACCCGACTTTATTGCAATTTGGAAAGCAGATGCACCACCAAAGGAGAGTTAGAAAATTTAGATAAAAGAAAATGAACACCCATTAATTTTCAACAGGCACGCGTGAATTGAGGAAATGGACCAGAAGAATAATGCCTGCATAAATAGTTATTCCCATGTGCCCACTTTCTAAGTTGCTACAAGACTGGTTCTTTTGTGTAGAAGGAGTGGCGCTGATGAAGGGGCCATGTCATCCCTTGTGTGAGCCTGTCCAATGTGCCGTTATCCCCATAACTCATCGAATTCACAACGTAAGTTCATTATTCTGGCGTTATTACAGCACACAATGCAACTAGGGGATGCTTCCACCTTTGATTCCAGACCGGTATTGAGTATTAGGTGCGTGGGAAGTGGGGACAAGTAATGCCCCCAGGGACAACATTATGAACCAGTACTTCTCAGACAATTTACAATGTGGTATATGTCATGTAAATGTATCTTGCGATATTGCAGTCGAAGTAACCAGAAGAGATTTCCAGTAAAGCAAACACAATCAACCTGCTAGACTCTAGTTTTTTTTTTTCCCAGCCTAATAATAGCAATCGATACATTGCAGCTTCATCCAGCTAATATCCTCTACGGGGGCCGTTCGCTGGCCACAAATGTATATGGTATGTATGTAATATGTATACCTCGGGATCGGCATTAACAACACAGGGTTGAATGCCTTTTTTACGATGCTTTATGCAAACGATGGTCCACAAGAGTCAATATACTTCTTGGTTCTAGAAGGGGAGAAAGGACCATGCCAGAATGGCGGCAACACCCAATGACGGGTTTGCGAGGGATATGACTTCCAACGTGCTAAGGCCGAGGGAGCTCATTAGCTTTGGGATCTCAGGATGAGCCCCTTTGTTAACTGAAGGAACCCATAGGGCCATGCAAGCAAGTGCCATTACATGCCTAATGAACTGAGTATGATGAATTGAGTACCGCCCAGCACATTCACGCGTTCCAGATCACTCTCCCTATCTACGAACCGTCGACTCTGAAGAATGAATACAACAGAGCAAAGATTATGGCATGCACAACGGGCAAAGTGCTTCCAGGCACACCAGACCAAGAGATAACCCACGTGCGGCTTTGAGAGACTTCATAAATCCTATACCTCACTCTGACCTCTAAGGCATGATGCCTTTGGATACTATTGTAGAGCACGTAACCATTATTTGCTCGTTTTTTTCTTGGTCAAGCACACTCGGGTTTATAGGTCCACACTTGTTCACCTTGTGCATAGCCACTCAATATTGAGTGGCTATGCCCTGCGTCATCAAAAAGCCGTCACCACTTTCCTCATTATGCACAGGGATAGAGATAAGGATAACAAAAAAAATTGGGTCTGGGTTCATTCGTCGTCCGGACTTCAACGCTGAAATTTCTTCAGACGCCTCTAATATCTTCAGATATAATGCTGTATTTATTGAACGCAATATTTGTTACACGTGCCTCTTTGTTTAGATTTCTCCGAATCATTTGCTTATCCCTAGCGAAATGTTTCTACACGCTGATATTCGCTTGGGATAAAATGAAAAACCCGCAGGCTGAGACTGAAAACTGCAGCATGGGTGTGGTACGTGAGCCGTATTCGATTCGAGCTACATTTTAGAAATGCGAAAATTTCAATCGTCGTAAAAAAAAAATCAAAACTGAATATGAAAATGTTTTGAAAATATCTGAAAGCAGGTTGAGGTAGTAGATGGCAGGAGGGACCGGCCGCAAAACCGTTTTGTTTTGCTTTTTTTAAATGTAAAGAGGCTCTTGTATAGATTTTGAACTAGTTTTTTTTTTATCTTGCCAAGATTCCACCAGATTTAGGCAGAATGCGCAAGCCGCTATACGCCCTTGCTGAGCTCTCAATATTCCACCATATTTAGCAACTAGAACGTTAAATTATAAACTTAATTTAGGTTCTGGTTCAGTTCGTTTCAAAGGAAGAAGCATCCCTCTACTTTTCAGGTCTAAAACCAACTGGTTCGTGAACCAGTTCGTGTTCGCATCAGAACTCCACATGGCAACTTCCGGCCATTTTTGATCGCATGATCGAGGATCAGTCATGACACCACTTACAGCCATGCCTCACTAGCACTATGGTAGGCAATTATTGTTTTGAAGCCTTAACTTCTTTATGGAACGTAATGAGAGGCGGGCCTCCCGTTGCGCGGCAAAAATGAAAAGGAACCTTGGACACATCTGGTGGCATGGATCGCAATTAATGTCTCCACAGCGAATCTAATATGATAATGCGCATAATTTAGATTCCCTTCAATGGAACCTCGGGCCAGTACTTAATGGGATTTATGGCATAGGAGGTAGGGGATCCCACGGTATCGTGCATAGATTGCCCCCTTGCACGCTATGGTAACCCTGACCCAGCCTTTCGGGCCTCTTCGTCCCAGGGTTACAACATTTCGCATCTCTCATTATCATATACGTGACGTCTAAATCCAACACGAAAAAAGACGATTCTCTTCTTTCAGTGGCATTTGCTTGGCAACAGCTATCGGCTACGATGTTCGACTGTGAACTCTGAGATGGCAAAAATTCATTTCATGACAAGATAAAAAATTATGCAAACGGTCAAAAAGGACTAGTACAGCTGGATGTGGTTGATATTCTTATCGCAAGGTTCAGACGGGTCGTAAATGCACGTGGGAATACCATAATCCCCTCCGCTACCAAAATGACATGCAGGATGGAGATCCCATGGGATTATCCATTCTGCGTCTCCTACTCATCTCGAGTATATTTGGAGTTTCATGGAGGCTTAGGCAGTGTCTTCATTACTTTCCACGAGCAAAATGAGAGTTTTGAACCATTCCAAGGCCAGGATTGGACATAGAACTTGATACTTCTGTTGTCCTTGAACATGAGCAGAATTGAGTCATTTTCATCGTGAGAGATCTGTCTCAGCTCTTGATGCAAAATGCAGTCATTATAGCCTCGACAAGGGCAATTTAGAATCTTTTTGCCTCCATAAACCCCTTGCTTCTCATGGGAGCAATAAAGCAAACGATCCCTCCTAAGAGCAAGAGGGGAAAAAGTTCCCTTGTCTGACGAAAATAGAGGAGTATAAACCCCACGAATGATTGTGCAGAAGGAGCTTCTCACCTGAATGCCACCATTAAAGCCGTCGACGTCGTAGAACTTGAATGAAGTGGGTCCATTGCTCGACGAGCCCAGCTGGTTCATCTTCTTCGACTTGGCAGTCGGGAGCCTCTCCAGGTAGGGGTTATATAAGGGGAAGTCTAGGTAGTATTTCTCCAATACTGCCACGGCAGCTCTTTGGATGCTGAGTTGTCCGATGGGATAAGATCTCGCTTCTCCGTCCGGGCTTCGAACCACCTGCAGAGAAAATGCAATGGGGAGTCAATCACAACTCCCTGGGAGACAGAGTGGAACTTATCATCTACGTAGTACCTTCCTCACTCGAACCGTGCTTAAGAGATGCACGCACGCCCTGGTGAGCAGTATAGGGGAGGTCAGAGAAAGCTTACGCACGCAAAGAGAGACGTTGGAAATCGAAAGAAGAGAAAGGGACAGTAAACAAGGACTTTAATGCAATGTCCACAAGAAGCAAAGCCGCAAAGACGGAAAATGTTTGGAAGAGCACCCTTCAAAGGTGGCAAAAGAATGCAAGAGAGAAAAGAAAGGAAGGGAAAAATCAACAAAGACCGGTATTTACGAACCTTGATGACGTATTGGGTCTGCTGGTGACGAATCTCCATTAGAACGACGGTGATGTAGTGAACAAAGAGGAGGGAATTCACCATGCTATCCGCGAACAGTACCACGGAATAGTATGGAATATCATCTTCGAAGGTCTCGATGAGTCGTACACAATAGAAGAGCCAGTAAGAAAAGATGAGCACGAAGAGGACCAGAAGGACGAGAGCCCGAAGAGTGTAAATTCTGGGTGTCGTTGCACGAGGTTTTCGGAGAAACACGGCCCAACATCCGACGAGGAGAATGAGGAGTTTGAAAGTCAAGGAAATGAGAGCACCGTCGCACTCAGGTCCGCATTTCAATTGAGTAGGCGATATTTGATACAGTCCAGTCTTGGGTATCACCACCATGACGATGGGGCTCAGAAACCCCACGACCGACAACACTAACGCGAACACGAAACCCGACCATCGCTGACAGTGGAAACTCAAGCCCGTGTCAGGTTCCTTCATCCACTTGGATAAGTCTTCCATAGAACCCCCTTCCGAGGTGTTCCCGGTCACTGCTGTCGTGTTGTCTCCCCAGTTCTCATCCTGAAACAAAAGAACTTCCTTTAGCGTGGTGTCATCGAATTTAGCCTGCCACGTGGACCGTGATGTGGTATGGGGACCATTAGGGGTTCATTTAGAGCAATACAAATGCGAGGGCAGTCGTAGAACCGAACCAGAAGCCCCTCATTAGAGTTCGTGATCAGAACACACATTGGATTGGAAGCTACTCCACCCCTCATTGAGGACGAAGTAATTCTTATTAGGCGATCATCAAATGAGGACTGGAGGCAAAAATCACGTAAGTCTGCAGCATGCCCCCATCAATCAATCAGCAATCACTTTCTCTCAGACTAGACTTTCTCGATTTGGGACAGCCAAGGAGGGTCTTTTGTTTTTTTTTTTCTCTCCCTCTCTCTCTTCCTTCTCCTTGAGGGATGGGCGAATGCATCTGGAGCATGCATATGACCACAAGCGATGGGTGGTATGGAGTGCGACGTGCATTCGCTCCTACGCTGTAGGTGTGGTCTGCCCAGAATTACATACAATCGGGATCAATTTACAAGATGGATGGGTTTGTTTCTTTGACAGATCTGACGGTAAAAGTCTTTGACAGTTTTGAGTCCCCAGAAAAGCAACATGGGGGACATTCAGCCTATTCATGTTCCGGATCCTTGGGAGTCACGAGCGGTTTCTGGGAACGCCCACGCAGGTCTCTCTTGACGGCCCACGAGTGATGTCAATGCGCGTTTGATGATCGGTGATGAATTATGGCCAGTCTTGAGATCTCAAGGACAGGTTCAGTGAACGGGTGCTCTCCTCTGCTTCTTTCAAGTGCCAAACACGTGGGTAGTGCGTAGACACTTGAGATAGAGCTTCCACCTCATCATCTTGGATGGACGTGTTGGACAGAATTCAATCGCTCTTGCCAAGATCACGCGTCAATATTTTCACCTGCAAGGTCATTGCCGTTCCGGAGACGTTTTACGGGGGGAGGAAACTTGCTAGTCACGCTCGTGGTTGTGTAGTGAGAGCTCTCACGCTGTGCGGAGACCGAAGAGAAGGTGGTTATTAGATCTCCTGCCCCTAGTTCACCTCCTTCAGAGCTTACATACAAGGAGGAAAACAAAGAAGTTCCAATCCGGTGTTCTTCACACCCGAAGGAACTTCGTTTCCTTGCTTTTCACATGCTCCCCCTTATTTGCCAGCCGCCGTTGCACTTCATTAGTTCGACTCGGGGGACAATCTGCTTTCTCCAACCACTAACGAACAAAATACTTTTGCATACGTTCTTTGGTGCGGAAACTGGTTATTCTCCTTTCACCGCAGACTTTTTAGAGCTTGCAAGACGATGACAGACGAATGCGGAATCACGCCATAGGCAATATTTCTCGACCCACTGAACAAAATTATTTCAGCTTCATGGATTACGGTTTCCTGCTCGATTTAAAACTTATCCCGGAGCTACGATCCCATCGAAGACGGTATGCATACAAATGAAGCTCTCGATGGGAAGATGTGAGCTCTTATGCGTTGATAGAGGAAATGCTCCAGGTGCTGGATAGATAGGCGACATTGGAGAGGTGAGTCAGCAAAGGAGGGCAACCGAGAGAAAATAGACGTTTTGCATTCTGCGGGGAAAAAGTGTCTCTTGGCTGGCCTTGTGCTCAGCGACGATCAATGCAAATGGCTGAATCACGCCCTGTAAAAGCGCCAACTTTTCCTCACTTTTTCATTGTGCGATACGCACACGTAAAATGATGACATCATGCACAGCCTGTGCGACATTCGTAGGAAGATGAAAAAAATCACCTTCATGGTCATCAACACAGATACAAGAAATCCCAATTTACGCTCCTTGTCCCCTCACAAATCGTGATGAATGTGAAAATGTCTTTTGTGATCCCGACCACCACCATCGAAACCTCCATTAACAAATTCAATCACGATTCCATCTGTGCTCAGCCGCTCCTGACAACGACAGGTCAAGATCATAAATCTCGTGTCACCTCCGATTTCGTTTATTTTTCTCTCTACGCGGCCCTTTCTTGTATCTTCATCATGAAGCATCACTTATTCCAGTCAAGTACGACTTACGACAGTTTTATAACTACGCGATCCGCACGATCCCCTTGGAAGTGAAACATGGACAGTCCAAAACAGAAGGAGAGACAATCAATGTAGACGAATGCTTGCGTATTGGAGAGAATCATTCTTCACCAAAATTCTTCTGTTTTACTTTTGGAACGACCTGACAGTTATAATATTTCGATCAAGAAAAAGTTGATGCATAGATTTATGCTCTTGAAATACCATCTCCCCATAACTCCATGCATTCGAAAATTGTATGCGAGCCTACTGTTGACGAAAGGGAAATCATAATATCAAGTGTAGTTCATTCCCCCGCTCATCAATAGAAGAAAATCCATCCTTGTTCAACAGCTGCTGCACGTGATACCAGGATTCATGCTCGTTTCGGATACATTATCAATGGCTTGGCCATTATTTCCCCTTTTAGACCCGGGCAGTCAGACACCATATAAGGACAGAGTTTCGTGAAAGGAGAGGCCATTGGAGGGTGACCTTCACATGGAGCTGGGTATTGTTTTCCGTCTAGCCAGAGGCTTTCAATGGGTCACAGGCAAGCTGCGTGATGTCGCAAAAACGAAGAGGGATTTCTTTTCTCTCCAGCAGCAGATTATAAGATGAAGTTGAGTCGGTTTTATGTTGGGATTTTCCTATCCTCAATGAGGCTTGTTGTGTCAATGGCATTTGGCCACCCGTGGCATCTTTTGGCAGCCCACCGTCAGCCACAGAGGACATGACCCTCCCCAATTAATAGCATGACATTGCACAAACTTCAATATAAGCCCGGGCCTGGAATCTCTGAACGCTATCTCTCGCCACTCCTTCTATGCCAGACTATAGGTTTCGGGCATCCGCCTCCATTCACGAACCCTGCCCTGCATTTCACTTGAGATGATTCTCTCCTCTACCCCCTTCTATTTCGCGGCCGATTTCAGCTCCATTGCGGTTGCATGAACATGACCTTTACCCAGAAATGGACGTGTCAATGGAAAGTTGGGTAGGGAAACCATACGAACCTGGGGCAGGATTTGGACTTCGATGACTTCTTGTCCCTCGGGTCTATCCTCTGGGACCATGCTGAGCGTGGTGTTGAGAGGACTATTGAGTCCACTCGAGAATCCATCCTTTGAAGGCAATGGGCTCCGAACCGACACACTTCGGTTGCTCTGTCGACTTTGGGACCTCGATGGCACGTGATTTTGCTGATGCTGCAGTTGCAGTTGCGGGTGATGATTCGTGTGATTATAGTTGATATGATTCTGGTTGGGGAACCTGTGGAAAAGAAATGACCCCAACGGGTAAGGAAAAGAATGCATTGGGTGTGTACCAGTCAATCATGAGAAAAAGAGGAGGCTCAACCTCCCACTATTCTCCGGGTTGGCGTGATCCACGCACTTTATCGGGCTCCGGGTCACGGAATGGGTCATGGGAGAGAATCAGCCTCATGGGAAAGAAGAGGCAAAAAGCCTCAACGACCGAAGACGAGGAGAAAAAACATGGCATGGTAGCCCGAGTGTTGGTGATTATTCTTGTCTTCTCCATTGTTATCTCCAGCTCTCTGGAGCCATCACCCATTATAAACCGCCAATCATCCGACCGAGAATTTTCATTTCCATAAATTACATCGCCTCCGCCATGTTCCCTTCTGCTTCTAGATTAGCATGTTCCTACACCGACGAGTATGCTGATTACTAATTATAGTTTCCCTCAAAGAGCATTAGCGACAGCGAGCATCAATGCGGCTGACGGCATATGACTAATTTCAGGACAAGACATGGCAATGGAGGAGAGGCATATGTTTCTTCCCACAATGTTTCTACGGGTTCGCGTGGCATTACGAAGATGGTAGCGCTTGATACGAAGATGAATGAGCTCACCTGTGCACTCGGGGTCTTCGTGGAAGGTCGCTCCCATTTGATTTTACCGACTCCGTCTCCAATGCATGCGACCAGGTCGTGGTGTGACTCTCCTGGAAGATGTAGGGCATCCTCGGGGTGGTGGTCTCCCCTCCTTCACCGTAGTTCTCCAGCACTTTCATGAATATTTCACAAGCACGCTGCTTCCAATTCCAATCTCATTCCCGACTAGACACGACGGAGAGATTCTTAACACAGCCTCACTGTCATTTTCTCCCCTCCCAAACGGCAGGGAGAGCCGAAAATAGACTTCCTCTCATCCTTCTCTGTTTGAAACCTGGGGAAGAAGACAGAAAACAGATCTTAGTGATAGATGTCTCAACTGTGTACCTTTGACTTTGACTGGCGATCCTAGGAATGAGAATGACGAAAATTCTTGCGGCGGCAGGACGAACGACGGGGGCAATGGACGCCGCTGTTTTCACAGAACAAAGGGACATGACAAATCGGAAAGAAAGGCAGAGGCTCTGTCGCGAAAAAGACACACCGTTAGTTAATAAAGGTGTGTCTTTTTCGACGTCACAGGCTCTACTGAAGTTATTTTGGTGGACTGTATAGCTCTTACTCAATAATTCCTACGAGGAATGAAGCGTTAAGGAATGAAGCTTCGTGGGCAGTCGACGATCGGCTTCTTTTGCCATCCTAGAAGGCATTCAGAATTGATCGGTGTGGTCTCTCAGTTTGGCATCTGTGATCAGTAATATACCAAGCGACATTCCTTTTCCCTATGGTCAGGCAGTTGCTCCATCACGTGATGATGTTACGAAGAGAAATGCCATGCAGACCACGTCCTCCCGTACTCCGATCAGAATATCGATATCATTTTCAAAACACCAGCGCACATTCAGGTCCTATAAGCTGTGTCCTTTTGTAGCACACTGTCGCATTAGGGAATGAAAACTGCGAAATCTCAGGGATTCCGTTATAGAGACGGACAAAATGGAGGTCAGATGGTTCCAGTAGCAGACTATCTTTCAAAGTAGGGGCATAGAGGGCACAAGCATGAATGGAGGGGAAGGTATCAAGAGGAGTTGGCGTGACGATGGGGAGCCACAGATCGCGTACTTTCCCTCTCGTGCTCCTTTGCCAACAACCTCCATTGCATTCAGACAGAGTGCCAGCTCTCTCTCTCTTTTATCTTACACCACCACAGATCACGTTCTGATGAGAGGAGGAAGTCGCAGATATCGCATCAATCACGATCCCTCCCAACCTCCCTCAACGGTGATGTCTCTTAAGAAACTTATCTCTGAATTCACCTGACCGGACTTCGAGATGGCAATCGAAGAACCAACACGTGACATCTGCTTCCATATATCTACATCGAAATAACCCTGAGATCGAGATGACGATTGCATCGATGTTTCATCACAGACGAACTCCTGGGGAGAAAGTTCTTTCCTGGCCCAGCGTCCCCTTGCACGATTGCTGAAAAGCTGATTTCCTCTCATGATGGATGAGTGTTTTGAATGAATTCTGATCAGGAGAAATCACTTTCCTAGTCGAGATGTGCTATGGGAAACTCCTTCCCTCCTTGCACGCTTCAGAGGCCAGAAAAGACCCGAGGACATTTTACGGCCTGTCCCTCCCATACGCCGTACATTCTTTTTTTTTTCAGTGGTCCCCGCGAGGCATCATTCGGGAGGGTCGGCTCGCCCACTTTGATGGCGGAGAAGAATGAGAAAAGAGGGACTAATTTCGCTGTGGATATCGAGGGGGGGAAATGGATTGAGATAGCCGGTGTCATCAACTGAACTCAGCGCCCAAGCCCCACAACAGGGCTCAAAAGGAATAATACATCCTCGTGGGTGGTTCTTCCGTCGGCCCTCAAGTTTCCCTTTCCGCAGCCTCGAGCTGCGGGGCAAAAACACAAGACGGCCCACTTTTGTCCAAACAGTGACCGTTTTTCATCGCCCAGATGACTCCTCAGAAAATGAGACTTTCCCTATCTCAATTTGCTGGAACGAAGCAAAAGGCGGTGGCCTGGGAAATGACAGCCGGGGCATTTCCTTCCGCATTTATCACTACGTTGAATGACGAAGCATTTTTTGAGGCACAGTCTGCCTAGGGTTCGCAAGAAATGGGTTCAGGCGGTGAACCGAACAGAAACTCAAAGTGATGGAACTGCATCAGATAGGGATCTGAGACGGGCAAATTGGCCATTATCGAGCGGGCGGGACAGAACAATGTGATTGTACTTCACACACCTGCCAGTTTCCCATTCCCCACTGACTTTGATTCCCCCATTCACGAGCTCGCTCGGCCCAGGAGGGACCCGGCCTTTTCGTTCTCACAGGAAAGAGGGGAGAGAACTTAGCAGTCGCGGGCGGACTTTCACTGCATCATAAAATCCAGGATCTCCATTCAATGTCACCAGAAGAGGACATTTCACGGAAATGTTTCCGAGCCCCTCGATTAGCATGTCCCTTTGCGTCACTTCTCACCTAACTCACCGGGGTAAGCGTGTTACCTGTCGCTGTAAAAATGACAGAGAGCGCCTTGCACAGCACGACCTGTATGAACAAGGCGCCCTAGGAGCTACATGAAACACGACCAAAACTACTATGCAGTTGGATCGAGTAGGAGGGAAAAATCCTGACGAACCTGTAGCGAGCACTCATTGACGCATTAGACTTTCTCCTCTCACGATTTCAAGCAGAGCCGCTGGGAGAATAGAAATCCCCTCTCATTTCCCTTAGATTTGTCTTCACTTAGAGCTTCGAATCTGTGACGAATCCACTTTCAGAGCTTTCAATGCGCACAGAATGAACCGTGAAGTCGGCGACGTCGAGAACACCCGTAGTTCCTCTCTCCGTCGGTCGGTCGCACAATGGATGAACCCGAGGAAGAAAACTTCTGCCGCTTCCCCATAAACCATTCAGGGCGGAGGTGAGTCACCTTGCAAATGAGATGGTGCAGAGGGTGAGGTGAGGTGTACACGGACCACTGGGTAATATCGATCTTCAACTACATCCCAACACGCAACAGACTCCCTGGCGCCCTCCTCATGAACAATGCAGATCTCCATCTCCCCCTTCCCTTCCCCCTCTATAATACTCTACCTGGACCCATTATGAACTGAATCCTTCCCCTTCCTTCTTAAAAACAGGATGGCCTTCCCATTCCGAGCGTTTCATTCTCCACACCACATCGCCCCGAATAAGGTCGGAAGTGTCTCATTTTGTCGTCTTTAGTTGTCCTGGTGGATCCAGTTGAACCGGTCACCCGAAGCTCGTTAGTTCAAAGAGGAGGAGAAGCCTCAATCAGTCCAAGTCTCCATTGCTCCAGTGCCTCAGGGCACTAATAGTCAGGTACCGGAAATGCCAACCTAATGAATTGAGAACATCTCCACGGTCGTATGGGAGGGACTTCACCTACTTCTCCGCCTACTTGTATGGATTACTGGAATTAGCAAGCCAGCTACAAAATATTATATCTCGTGGATGAAGTCATTCAATCATCCACTTTGTAGGATGTATAGGCAAGGGAACTTGTCAAGCTTCTTCCCTCCCCTCCGTCTAACGTCTTATTTTGGTGCAAGGGTACCTTATTAGCTCTGGTTCCCCTCTCAATCTCCAACATGGGCATTATTTATGCATTCTCATCTCTTGTTCGTCATTGTCAAGGGAATCACAATGCATATAGGAGATCGATTCGTGCCGCCTCTGCTGCAGGTCAAATGGGATTCAATACGAACCCCCTCCGTTTCGGAACGATTTAGGGATCCATTAGAAAAGCTTTTGGGCGGCATGGGGGCGCGATATATTGAGAAACCAAGGGGGGAATGCTGGCGTAATGGGATCTGCTTCAGGTATATGGGCTCGAGCTCCTGGCCAGGGTAATGGAACAGAAGGCCCGGTCCCCAAGGATAAATGAATGATTTATCTAGAGAGGAGGAAGAGGGTGTTTCAATGGGGGAGGGGGAAAGGGAAGATGAACCCCTATACCTCTTCCTCAAATCTCCCCTGAGAACCATGACCCTTCTAATTATTACGAGACGTGACTCATCTATCTCTGGAAATTTTATATATGGGTTTGGGAGCACCATAACATGGAATTGAACTTTCTTCGGCCTGTTTCAATAGGGAAATTTACGTCCTGCAGGAAGTTTCGCAATAAGAAGGAATCCCTTTCACTGCCATCGTTGGAATTATTCGGATATTGCAAGCGATGTTCATTCGAGAAAGGTTTCGGGTGGCAGATGAAGATGGTCACTTCTGAAATATGATCAGAGACACGCAGGTGAAGGAGAAACATGAGGAGTCTCAGCATGGAAGCTTTCGTAGTCGGAGGAGGGAATTTTTTTTTTTTCCTTTCTTCCTTCGCTGAGCCAAGTCACTGGGTCAGATGGGAGTGGCCACGCTCGCTCTCTCTTTCTCTTCAAGTATCCCAATCTGGACACGAAGGATGCATTAAGGAAACTCATGCACTCAAGACGCAAGAAAAATGAGGCTCACCCTTTGCAGACATGAGTTACCGCCCCAAAGAAAATCATGCCCTTCGCGTGCCTTCATAGCCGTTGGCACTTCGTGGATGTAATGCCCTGAACCGACAAGCCACGCATCAATGAGCCCAAGTTCTTATTCCTCATCGATACCCTTCCCATTTCACCTATATCGACACTTAGTAAGTGGAGAAGGGCTCTAACGGACTGTGCCGGTTGGAACATTATTCATGCTGAACGTGATCGGAGACCTGAAGGAGAATGGAGAGCTGCCGAATGGAGCATGTCCATCCATGACCCTCTCTGTAGGTGGGATGGAAGTGCCAATGACCGTCCTCATGAACGGAGACCTAAGCTCTAATGGACGTCCACCCCTAGTCCATATGGAACTCGGCCTCATATGACAGGGACATGAGATTTATGGATTTCTTCACGGTGTAGGCTACAGCCCTCAGTCCGGGAAATTTCTTCTCTTAGTCTTCAACCCAAGATTCCTTCGTTATGTCGTAAATGCCTGTTATATTTACGGGTGGTTTACACATCACGTTTTGAGAGAACATAGAGATGTCCAGCGTTTTTGCCCTGCTTCAACGTATTCAGATGGGGCAAGAGGCCATAAAAGCCAGTCGGAGAGTCGGGACCTGAGTGGTCGATGGGCCGTAACTACAGAGCCCCAGCGGCCCTTCCTCCGAAGTCACGTCAAGCAAATCACGCAAACCTTTTTCCCTGGGCTTTCCCCCTGCCTCCGTGCAAACGAGATGGTAAAAAGTCATTTGCCGGAATGAGCTGAAGGCCGATGGTCCTTCGAGCCAGAAAATGCTGCCAGAAAACTTCG